CGGTCAGAATGGCTATCAGCAATAAATCAACAAACAACAAATGCTGGCGAGGTTGTGGGGAAAAGGGAACCCTGGTGCACTGTTGGTGGGACTGCAGACTGGTGCAGCCACTATGGAAATCAGTACGGAGGTATCTCAAAAAACTGGAAATGGAGCTACCTTATGACCCAGCAATTCCACTCTTAGCCATTTATCCAGAAAAACCCAAGACATTAATTCGGAAAAACATATGCACCCCTATGTTAATTACAGCGTTATTCACAATAACCAAGACTTGGAAACAACCGAAATGCCCATCGGTAGACAACTGGATTAAGAAACTATGGTACATTTACACAATGGAGTATTACTCAGCTACAAAAAAGAAAGAAATCATACCATTTGCAACGATATGGATGGAACTAGAGAATATTATGCTAAGTGAAATAAGTCAGTCAGAGAAAGACAACTACCATATAATCTCACTTATACATGGAATCTAAAAAACTGAATAAATAGAAATGTAAACCAAAATAGTCTCAGAGACACAGACGAAACACTGAGGGTTACCAGTTGGGAGAGGGTGGGGACGAAGGAGAAGGGGAAGGGACGAGACAACATAAATTGGTAACTACAATATGGCTTCAGGGATAGAAAAGACAGTCTGGGGAATATAATCAATAATGTTGTAAGTATTTTTTAGGGGGCCAGTTGGACTCATGTCTTGTTAAGGAGACCACTGCATAGAGAGTGTAGAGGCCTGACCACCGCACTGTATTTCTGAAGCCGATGTTGAATAATATTGTATGTCAACTCCAATTATATATATAGTCACGGGATGGAGAGTGTGGGAATGGAGTCAAATGGAATTGTAATAGATAAGTATGAATCAGGGGTGGGAGGGCAGTGGATGGGGGGAGAGAGGTTGTTACTTTGAGAGCGGTGAAAAGGATAATTATTGCATTGTTCTGTACACCTGAAACTAATAATAAATAATATATATATATATATATACATACATATATATAAATAAAACATTTTATTGGAAAAAAAAAAAAAGAAAAAGCACACAAAACAAAGGCACTACTTCATGGCCCCCTTCTTCCCTCTGCAAGACTCTAACCTGACTTTTAAAACAATTATTTTCTTGCATTTCCTTACTGTTTATTATACAAGGGTACATTCTAAGACTCTATATAGTTTATGCTTACCCATTTTATTTTTAATTTCACATGACTTTAACATCTTTTAATCTACAGATTACCCCTCATTTCCATTCTTTATTTTTCTTCATAAAACTTATTACCAATATAAAAGTTTTCAAGGATGATCATCATCTTTCTCCCTTAAAAGATCATATTATTCTTTAGCCATCTCAAAAGTTAACAAAAGTTACATCCATAAAAACTGACAGGCTATAATCATTAAATTAAACATCCTGAGAGAAATGTCAAGACTTTAGCATCATTCAATTTTAAAATATTGCTACATCATTTTTTTACCTAATTGGGAATATAATTCAGAACAATTTTAAAATATTTTGAAGAATGTACTTAGTATATTAGTCATTGACTTCAGACAGGAACAAACAACTGTAGATCAAATTTCACGATCATAAAATAAATCCCGGGGCTGGCCAAGTGGCTCAGTTGGTTAAGAGCTTGCCCAAGAGTGCGAGCTCCGAGCAACAGGGTCGCCAGTTCGATTCCCACATGAGCCAGTGATGCTGCACCCCAAGCTGAGCTGCTGCTGAGCTCAGTTGGTGAGAGCACATGCTCCTAACAACAAGGATGCCTGTTTGAATGGTGGGCTACGCCCACCCACAACTAAAGACTGAACTCAGCACCTTGAGCTGAGCTGCTGCCTGGGTGGTTCAGGGGATACAACACGTGCTCCTAACTACAAGGCTGCCGGTTCAACACTTACATTGGAATGGTGGCTACATCCACCTGCAACTAATTGAACACAGCACCCTGAGCTGAGCAGTACGACTGGACTTGGAACTGAGCTAGATGCACCCTCCACAACTAAGATTGAAGGACAAAACTTGGCTGTTCCCCTCCCCCAATTCCCCAATAACAAATCTAAAAAAAAAAGCTACCCTTAATCCAAATATTCTAGTACATTTATCTTCCCTCCTCATTATCTAACTCTTCTTTTATCTTAGTTTCAATGGCTTTTCTGGTATCCTCTCAAATACATTTTAGAAGTGCACAAGATATAAATAAGGAAATACAATACTAAAGTTAAGGAAATTATAGTCATATTAGAATTAAGAAATATTACATTACTGTTTGAGCTATAAAAAGACAAATGTGTACCAAAAACGTAATAGTGAAAAAGGGTAGAATGAGATTTAAACCAAAGGTTAAAAAAAAATCATATTAGGGGGCAGCCGGTTAGCTCAGTTGGTTAGAGCGCAGTGCTCATAACACCAAGGTTGCCAGTTGGATCCTCACATGGGCCACTGAGCTGCGCCCTCCACAATTAGACTGAAACAACTACTTGACTTGGAGCTGATGGGTCCTGGAAAAACACACTGTTCCCAATAAAAGAAATCCCCTTTAAAAATAAATAAATAAATAATATTAATACCTGAAACTAATATAAAACAATATTGAATGTCAAAAAAAAATAATAGTAGTAATTTTTAGTCTCTTTCCAATAAATAAATGTAATGGATTTACTTTACCTTAATTTCTATCCTTGCTCTGTGAGGAAAAAGCTGTCCAATCATAGAAAAGTCAGTTCCTACCATGCTGATGGCTAGAAAAAACATATCTGTTTCTGTAAAAATAAAAGATTCAGAATGATTGAAAATTAATCTTCTCAATATTTCAGAGGAAAAAAATCTTACCTAAGTATATATTTTGAGTTGAAAATAAATTTGACTACTTAATAGTTTTTTATTAAAGTCCAGTAAATCTTTAGTCATAGAAATGTCTATATATGAAAATATACATATTTCAATTTTGTTTCAAAGAACCTCATGGACAGTTTAAAAACATCTGCTTTAAACTTTTATATAGAAACATGGTATAAGAAATTTGCGGGGCCAGCCAAGTGGCTCAATTGGTTAAGAGCACGAGCTCTGAGAAAGTCACCAGTTCGATTCCCACATGGGCCAGTGAGCTGCACCCAAACTGAGTTGCCGCTGAGCACAAGATAGTTCAGCTGGTGAGAGTGTGTGCTCCTAACAACAAGGTTGCCAGTATGACTCCTGCATGGGATGGTGGGCTACACCCACCCGCAACTAAGGTTGAACATGGCACTTTAAGCTGAGCAGCCGCGAGCTCCAACGGACGGCCAGATGGCGACTGGACTTGGAGCTGAGCTAGCGGCGCCCTCCACAATTAAGACTGAAGAACAACAACTTGGCTGTTGCCCTTCCCCAATTCCCCAACACTGTTCCCCTTCCCCAATTCCCCAATTTAAAAAAAAAAAATTTGCATGCTCATACCAAAGCAGATGGAATTAAAAAAAGAGAGAGAAAGACATTCTGCCTATCTGGCCTAAAAATCAGTCATAGCCAGCACAATTATTACCACTACATAAGCAACTAAGATGTGCTTAGTAGTATGTGAAAGAAAGTAGCTAGAAAAATACATAAGAAACTTTTAGGGCCAGCCAAGTGGCTCAGTTGGTTAAGAGCTGGCTCAAGAGTTTGAGCTCTGAGCAACAACGGTTCGATGCCTGGCCCGAGCTGAGTTGCCGCTGAGCTGCCAACAGGTGGCAGGATGGCTCAGCTAAAAAAAAAAAAAAAAAAGAAACTGTTAAAACAGAAGTAACCTCAAGAGAATAGGATTGGGGAAGTCAGAGAAGTATAGAACCTTTTTTTTGCTCTATATAATACTCTGTTGTGTTTGAATTTTTTCCCAAAACAAACTGTATTACTTCCATAATAAAAATTAAAAGCAACAGAATGTAACAGTGTCATATACTTTTTTAACAGCATAATTTTTACTTTTAGAAACTTTATTATGCATTACTATCTGAAGTAGAACATTATTATAAGCATTAGAAATACGGTATTGTTAATTCTTCATTAAAACAATATTTGTTGTACAGAGATTTTTATTTATTTATTTATTTTTTTGGCTGAGCCATCCTGCCACCTGTTGGCAGCTCAGCTCGGGCCGGGAATCAAACCGGCGACCCTGTTTGCTCAGAGCTCACACTCTTGAGCGAGCTCTTAACCAACTGAGCCACTCCGCCGGCCCCCTTGTATAGGGATTTGACAGAGAAATATTCCAGCCAAAATGACGATAATGCTAATTCCTAAAAAGATTTCTAAGATAAAGCCAGAGATATTGTTCATGGTCAGGGGCAGAGGAAAGGTGCCAATAAAATTAGCTAGAGAGAAACAACATGGTTGTTTGCATTTTATTCACTTAGAGGAAAACTGATTTAATTCAGAAACAAAGAAAATAATTCACTTCAAATAAATGACCTACACAATTTAAAAAGAAAATTAGTTACCTTTATTTGACCAAGGTTTAGAGTAATAGTTTTTCCTAAAACTGGAATATGTAGTTGTAGAACCACGCTCAAATATGGGGTCATTTTCCTCAACAACACAGGGACCTTTTGTCCTTAAAACTTCTACAGTTAAACTGAAAGAAACACATTTTTTTAATAGATCCACACTAAAAACAAGGAAACAAATACTAAATATTTCAACAGTGATATTTTGAAATTTACCATGGCAGAGTCATACATTTGAGGTGTGCATATTTTCTAAGAATCCGTTCATTTTTACTTAAAATCATTGCCAGGGAGTGAAAAAAAAAAATGCCAACTTTTTTTTTTTTTATCCTCAAAAGCAATATAAAATTTAAAAAACATCTTTGGGCCACCTAAAAAATTATTTATTTTTTACTGACTTCTGCATGTCTCCTATATTTACTATACATTATCTCATCATGCTAGACACAAGAGATATTGAGAAATACAAGCATTTTATATTTATGTTTTACATTCCTGAACACAAAGCAGTTAAGTATACTTTTAACTATTTAATAACCTGTAGAATCATCACCAAAAAATAATAGAAAACAATGAGCAAAAACAATTACTGACAGTATTACACTTACAAAACATAGAATTTATGTTCTAATTTTTTTACTAATTAAAACTCTCAGAAGACTTTCCATCCCTCTTTTTTATTTACTTAACAAATTATCTTCTTCTAAAAACATACTTTGGACAAACAACTAAATTCCACAATGCCAAATTTGAGAAATTTAATGTTTTATCTGAGAAATTGAACCAGAAAGAGAATTAAACCTCACCGTAACAAAAGCCAGAAAATGTTAAACCTATGTTTTATTGCATTTTCATTAATTACCACCATACACCAGAAAATGTTATTGGTTAATAATATGAAAATTTGAATACTGACTTCAAGACTGAGTCAACCTTCAAAATCTATCCTCAGTAGAGGACAGCATGTGATTAGCTCAATAGCTCCTTCCAATTACCAGTAAAGTCGGTAAAACAATGGTGGTAGGTTAATGGATCATAGGTCATCAGCGCCTCCACACAAAAACATACAAAATCTTCTCATACAAAATACAGAATTATAAAAATTGCTAAAAATTAAAATTGAATATAACACACCTTTCTATTTACAACATCCATTATACAAATATAAACATCAGAGTCTAAGTGACAATGACAGATACAGAAACTCAATCTCTCTCATTAGACAAAGCAATTTAGTTCTCATGAAACCACAATATCTCTCACTCTTTTTTAAAACTTACCTTTCTTCATCCAAAATTATAGAACCATCTTCTGCCACTTTTACTCGGGGAACCAGCAATGGCCCATCATCCATTTCTTCTTCTACTTCTTCATTATCTTCTGCTTCAGGAGTACTCTTATCTTCTTGCCTACCAAAGACAGATTAATTCATATACCCACGAGAAAAAGTGTTTCTAACTACTATGAACTTCTAAAATAAATTATTGCAAATTCAACCTCCTAGCTATTTCCAACTTTCCCAATAACCTAATTGAAAATACTGTGTGTTGCTAAGGACATGGTTATACGATTTTCTCAAATTTTATCTGGTAACTTTTAATAAGAAGACTTGACTCTCTTTGAAAATAAAGAGTGGGGCTGGCCGAGTGGCATGTTGGTTAAGAGTTGGCTTGGGACACCAGCTCTGAGCAGCAGGGCCCCAGTTCAGATCCCACATGTGGGCCAGTGACGCTGCGCCCACTACAGCTGAGATGGTGAATTACAGCTCGACCTGGAGCTGGGCTGCCGTGAATCACCAGCGAGGGCGTAGGCTGCAGTGAGGCTGCCGTGAGCCGCTATGAGCGGCCTTCCAATGGCTGGTGAGCAACTGCCTCACCCAGGAAGAGCACAATGATAATACCAACATAGGCCAGTAAAGCAACGTCCTCCACAACTAGACTGAAGAACAAAAAGGATAGCAACTTGTCTGTTCCCCCTCCCCGATTCCCTAACGCTGTTCCTCTCCCCCAATTCCCCAATAAAATCTTAAAAAAAAAAAAAGAAAAGAAAGAGAGGGGCCGGCCGAGTGGCTCAGTTGGTTAAGAGCGCAAGCTCTGAGCAACAGGATCGCCGGTTCTATTCCCATATGGGCCAGTGAGCTGCACCTGAGCTGAGCTGCCGCTCAGCTGGTAAGAGCACATGCTCTTAGCAGCAAGGTTGCTGGTTTGACACCCATATGGGATGGTGGGCTGCACGCCCCCGCAACTAAGATTGAACACAGCACCTTGAGCTGAGCAGCCATGAGCTGCCAATGGGTCCGATGGCTCAATGTGCAACAAGGTTGCTGGTTCGACTCCCGCATGGGATGGTGAACTACACTCCCATTCCTGCTCCCCCCACCCCCACAACTAGATTGAAAGTGGCGACTGGACTTAGAGCTGAGTTTGCACCCTCCACAACTAAGATTGAAGGACAATAACTTGACTTGGAGCTGATAGGTCCTGGAAAAACACAATGTTCCCCTTCCGCGATTCCCCAGTAAAATCTTTAAAAAAAAAAAATTTACCCATACCAGAATATATTCAAAAAAGAATAAGATGAGATGCTTACACTCTTGTCTGGACTGGTGTCGATGATTTTTCAGTTCTCTTTTCTTGCTCCAGCGAAGAACTATTAAACACAAATAACAGAATACTTATTAATAAATAATTTACATCTTGTGAATTCAATCTGTAGGCAAGAAGGAATTTATTTTAATTTGCCTTTTTTAAATGATATACCATAACATTACTATTAATGATAGTAATGTGTCTCAACAAGATAGTGTGTCTCAACAGTCAATTTTTCAGTCAAAACCTTTTGTCATCAAGTATAAATAATTTGTTAGGGGCCGGCCGAGTGGCGCGATGGTTGGGAGCTCGCTTGGGATGCCAGAGGGCCCCGGTTCGGATCCCACATGTGAGGGCCAGTGACGCTGCCCTCTACAGCTGAGATGCTGGACAACAG